AGCCCCCGATCCTCGAGCCTCGAGCCCTCGAGCCTCGAGCCTCGAGCCCTCGAGCCTCGAGCCCCCGATCCTTGGGCCTCAATCCCTCGAGCCTCGAGCCCCCGAGCCTCGAGCCCTCGAGCCTCAATCCCTCGAGCCCTCGTGCCCCGAGCCCCCGAGCCCTCGAGCCTCGAGCCTCCAGCCTCCAGCCTCGAGCCCCGATCCTCGAGCCCTCGAGCTTTCGAGCCCCGAGCCTCGATCCTCCAAAGTCCCTGAGGGCAGGATCAGTGCTAACAGTCTGGCCGCCGCGGGCGGCAGACGCCGCCGCCGCCTTGGAGACCGCCCTCCCGCTCCCGAACGGATGTGCGAGGGGCGCTTGCATGCCGAGGGGGCGGAGGCAGCGGCGGAAAATGCGGAGGAGAACGAAGGAGGAGGAGGAGGAGGAGGAGGAGGAGGAGGAGGAAGGATGAGGATACTGAACGCTTCCAAAATACGTCGCGTCGGGGCCGTTTCCCGTGAAGGCACTCGCCGGTCCTGGTTCTGGCGGATGAGCCGGCGGGGGAGTGCTGCCAGCGCCCCCACCCCCGTCTCTTCCGGGGACGGGAGGTACTGAAGGTACTTGATACCACTGCTCCCCACACCTCTCACGGGATGCGTTCTGACAAGGATTTCGACACCAATCCAGCCGTGGCGACGACAGCCTCCCAGCAGGCGCAACAAGGCGAAACCGAAGGAAGGGTATTGCTGCTCCGACGCAGGATGCCGTTCTCCCTTCCCCGAGCATGGGCACCCAGCTGGAAGGCCTGGAGGCAGCTGGGAGCCGAGGCTCGGGCGCCATCTAGGAGGCTTGGAAATTATGCGGCAACTCATTACGAGCCTGCCATACGATAAGGTTGACTCTTGCGGATCGGCGCCAACCGACGCACACTGACGCTACATCGGCGCTATCGCATCGATTACACGTTATGGATCGACGCGGATGCCCCCTGAAGACTGAAGAGCGGGGGCATACAAAGCTCGAGTGGTCTGCTACCGTTCGGTCGGGCATGTCCTCCTACAGGGGGATTGTGGGAGAAAAGATTGAAACCGTGAAACATGTTCAAACATCAAGAAAATAGAAAGATCGTCCCCCGACTATGTTTGAAATGTATTTGGATAACTATACCTCCAGTAGAGGGACGTGCCCGACCTAATGCTACCGACGGACCGCACCTGGGAGGCCCGGGGTGCGAGACGTGGACCTCTCCATAACCGACCGCGGGCGATAATAATGCCCCCGGGATATGAAATTCCGGAGTTCCGGCTGGGATAATGAAACATTTTCCCGGGGAACGTCAATTATGATGATGATGATGATCGCGCACTCCACTGCGCGAGTTCTGCACCGGATTAACAAGTATGCGACGCAGGCGCGCAACAGGTCGAAATTGACAGGCGAACGCGGCAGAGGAGGAGGAGGAGGAAGAGGGCAAAGACAAAAAGACATCAAGAGAACAACTGGCACGACAGAGATTCAATTCGGGCCTCACTGGCGCTCAGATCCTCGAGCAGTTTCTTCCGGACGCCAACTGCCCACTGCCGGGCGCCATCTGCCCACTGCCGGGCGCCATCTGCCCACTCAGCATCATCTTGTAGGACCTCCACCTGGCAGTCCAGCTGAGAAAGCAGATCCCGATTATGTTCGAGAGCGCGCTGGGCGTCCAACAGATCCTGCCTGAGGGCCGGAAGAAGAACGCGAGCACGATCGGCAGCACGAGCAGGGGCAGGGGAGTTTGCCGAAGAAGAAGAAGAAGAGAGCCCGGCTGTGCGGCCTAGTGGATGTCCAGGCTGAGCGTCACGAGCGGCGCGAGCATCTTGGCGATGCTGTCGCCCAGGCGCACGAGCATCAGAAGCACCTGCACGAGCACCAGCGCCAGCAGCCGCTTGCTGTCGAGGCTTCTTGTAGGCAGGCCCCTTCAGGCCAGCAGCAGCAGCCGCAGCCCAGGGGTCAGCCCCTCCAGGGACATGCCAAGGATCAGGACGATCGCCAGAGCGGGCAGCGGCCACCAACTCCGCCATCGGGCGCATCACCACTACCGCCACCGACATCGCCATCGTCGGCATCACGGTGGGGACGCGGACGAACACCATCCGAAATCCAGAACGACGCCTCGACCGCGCCACTCGAGTACTTTATGCCCACGATCAACGACAACTCGATCCGCGATCAGAGCCGCGAAGAAGCGCTCGGGCAACCGGGGTCAGGGCCGCACCATGGGGGTTGAGAATCACCTTTACCTTGCACTGGGATCTAGCGCCGATCCGATGTGAAGAAGCCCAGGCACACCGGCAGAGACGCGCTGGCGTAGCCAGCCGAGCTGGGCAGCGACGACCATCGGCAGCAGCGAACGAGCAGACGGGCGCAGCAGCGCCTGGAAGCCAAGACCAAGCAGCAGCTTGGGCAAATGGCTATGATGATGATGATGATGATGATGTTGTTGATGATGATGATGATGATGATGATGATGATGATGATGATGATGATGATGATGATGATGATGACGGTGACGGTGACGATGATGATGGTGATCCTGGGCGCTCGGCACAAGGCTCACTCGAGAAATCTCGAGACTCGTGACTAACAAGGCGCAAGACACAAGGCTGACTCGAGAGATCTCGAGGCTCATGGCTACTTGCCAGCAGGCGCACGGCAGAAGGCTGACTCGAGAGATCTCGAGGCTCGTGGCTGAGCAGGCGCCTACACTTTGCCAGCGCCAGAGAGGTCCTTGGCCGATCTGGCCAAAAAACCTCTCTGGCGTTTTTGATGCTGTTGCTAGTCAACATGAGATGATAGCAACTTCGATTCGCAACCTTCCCCTATGGATTATAAAGTTCGGCATCCGCGCCCCCCTCCACAATTAAATCCTGTTGGTCGGGGATTCAAAAAATAGGACGGGGAAAGGGGGGTAGACTTTATTATCGCCCGCACTCGGTTCTCCCATATCCACCGCCTGGGAACCGACGTCCTGGAGCCCCGCCGGGCGGTGGACATGGATATGTGGTGGCGCCTGGGGCCCAAATGAATATATATATATATATATATATATGTATATACATTTATATATATATATATATGAAAACATATAGATAGATATCGAACAATAAGTATATAGCTCTCTCTATACATATATATTTATAAATATGTAGATATACACGCCCGACTTAAGCGCAGGGGCAGGGACGCCCAGAATCGAATCGAAAAGTCGGATCGGCAATCGAGACACATCGGATCGGAGGAACTCAGCAGCCGAGCCGGGAAAAGTCGAATCGGGGGGGAACAACAAAAAACGGCAGGCTAGTATACAGTCGGGGCGTTGACCTAAGGAACCCCAAATAAGGAACGAGGCCCCCCGGTCGAAAACAAAAGGAAAGCCCGAGGCAAGCTGTGAAACACCTAAGGAACGCGGAGCCCCTCCCCAACGAAACGGGTTCCTTCTTCAGGGCCCGGACTGTAGGCCTCCATGGAGTCAACTCTGATCCCACATCGGAATCCGAAGCCGAACCGACTCGGAATCGCAGGCCATCGACATCGGATATCGCATCGCCTCGGCGGCGTCGACATGCGCCCTGTCGTACCTCCGCCCCGTCCACGGCGTGGCGCAGGGGCCGCCTCCACGACCCCGACCCCCGACGTCGTGCATTTCTCGCACACGTCGACCCCCAGAGTGAAGAGGCCCACAAACACACAAATAAATACACACACATATTTTCACATATTTTCACATATTTTCACATGATTCCCCATATTTTCACATATTTTCTGAGTTTTTGTCTTCCCCCCCACTTCCCATAGGTTCCCATATTTTCCTGGGAGTGGACGATGAATTGTGTCTGTGTGTTTTCTCCCCTCCTGGCAGAGGCCTGGACCCCTTCCCCGGGGCCAGCCCTTCCTCCCGAAAGTCCTTCTTAAGGGCGGCCCCGAGGCCCGGCCGGGGCCCCCCCGGAGGCCGAGACCAGCGGAAGGCCCCGGAGGCATCGAGGCGAGCCTCGGGTCGGGCGAAAGGGGGGGATAGCGAAGGGGGGGTTTGAGAATCAGCTCACGTAGCTGATTTTCCCGGCGCCTCCCGGCGCCGGGAGGCGCCCATGTATCGAGGAATGGGCCCCTCGGTGAGGCCGAAACCAGCTGCATGTAGCAAATTTCGTAACCCCCCCTTTCCCAATCCCCCCCTTTCGCCCGACCCGAGAGCCCCGGAGCAATGGGATCCCAGATCGGAATCCGAAGCCGAACCGAATCGGCATCGGAGGCCATCGAAATCGGACATCGAATCGACCCGGAGGAGTCGACATGCGTTGAGCAGGGACCGAGCGTCCCGGCATTCCTACAGTCCTACCACGGAATGTTCTTAGAACCCAACCATATGCTAAGAACAAAAGCAATGTTCTTGGACCATAGACCCGATGTGACACAACGAGACAGGCTCCGCCAGGAGTGTTCTAGGAACCACAAGAGGTTCTTCGAACATTGCTTGGTAGGGCTATAGGCGAGCCAGGACGCTGCGCCACTGCTTGAATGAAGGTTCTTAGAACTTTGTTTGGTAGGGCTATAGGCGAGCCAGGACGCCTCGCCACTGCTTGAATGAGCCCTCCACTTGCCGTCGCTCGGGCGTCCATTTCCCGTGCATTTGTCGGTTTCGTGCGTGTTTTTGCTCGATGGTCCAGGATGGTCTTCACTGGTTCTCGCCGAGAAAAAAAAACACACGTCCGAGCTGATTTTCCCACGTAGCCCACGTAGCTGATTTTCCCGGCGCCTCCCGGCGCCGGGAGGCGCCCATGTATCGAGGAATCGGCCCCTCGGTGGGGCCGAAACCAGCTGCATGCAGCAGATATCGTACCCCCCCCCCCTTTCGCCCGGCCCGAGATATAGGCGAGCCAGGACGCTTCGCCACTGCTCGAAGGAGCCCTCCCGGGGACTCGGCGGGGCCGGCGCCCTCCCCGCGAGCGGCGGAGGCGGGCCGCGGGCCGCGGGAGCGGCGGGGGCGGGCCGCGGCCCCGCCTCCGGCAGGCTCTCCAGCGTCTGCACCTGGCTCGCCTGGCGGAGCAGCCCGGCGCGCGGGGGGCAGGAGTCGAGGGGCCCAGGGGCACGCAAAGGCATACACACAGGCCACAGGATTCCCCAAATTATTTGCAAGCCTCGAACGTATCCCTATACCCAAGATTGACACGCCAAAAGGCGACGACAATTTTGGGGATTCGCCCTCAAAACAGGAGGGAATCCCTGCGATTGGCATCGTGATGAGGAGGTGCCAAGCATAGGGGTAGGGATATGTTCCAGGCTGGTAACATGTTGTCCAATATTTTCGGGGTGTTCGTCTCCCCCCCCACATCCCATAGGTTCCCCGATGTTCCCTGTCGTGCGCTGTGTGTCTCTTTCCCTCCTGAAAGAGACAGGAGGGAAGGGCCGCGCTGAGGCGGGCAGAGGGAGCGGCCCGGCAACTGCAAGCGAGGACAAACGCGGACAGATCGTGCCGCCCCTCCGCCCCGAAGATCTCTCTCTCTCTCTCTCTCTCTTTCTTTTTGTTATATCTCTCTCTCTCTCTCTTCCTTTCTCTCTTTCTCTTTCTCTTTTCTCTCTCTCTCTCTCTCTCTATAGATCTACAGACCGCGGGGGTCTAGGACTCTGATTTGGCCTCGCGCGCGCGCCTGCGAAGGGGCACGAGGTGTCCAGGCAAAAGGGGGGAAACCAGGCGCCAACCAGCCCAGCGACGACGGCACGCGGGAGGAGGCAACGGCACGGGAGGGGGAGGGGGAGCGGGCGCAGTCTCCCCGCCTCCTGGTGCTTGTCTGGGGCCACGGGAGGAGGGTGGCTGTTCACCAGCCTCGAACGTATCCCTATCCCTGAGATTGGCGCGCCAAAAGGGCGATGGCAGTCTTGGGGATCCGCCCTCAAAACAGGAGGGAATCCCTGCGATTGGCATCGTGATGAGAAGGTGCCCAGCATAGGCATAGGGATATGTTCCAGGCTGGTAGCTTGTGGATCACGGGAGCTGGACCAGGCAGGACCGTCCACCCTTCTGCCGCCTCTGCGCCCCTTGGCGCCGCTTGCCCGGCCACGCCCGCGCGTGCGCGCGCGCGACTGACGCCACGAGCGCTGCGCACGCTCTCCGCGGCCTGCCCAGGAGAAGGAAAGGGAAAGGACAGGGCGAGGAGGAGAGAAAGGGGGGGAAACTAAAAGGCACCGATGCCGCTGCTCCCCGGGCCTCTCCCGAGGGGGGCGCTCTGACCAGGATCTCGAGGCGAGTCCAGCGGTGGCGACGAGGGTCTTCCAAGAGGCCGAATCAACGGGGGCGGCGGGCGAGCGGCAGCGGCATCCGCGCCTGTCCCTCCTCGGACGAGGACGGGGGGGCGAGGACAAGGACGTCCAGGCGAGTCCAGCGGTGGCGACGAGGGCCTTCCAGGCGGCCGAACAAGAGGGGGGAAGGCGGGCGAGCGGCAGCGGCATCCGCGCCGGTTCCTCCTCCGGCGAGGACGAGGGGACGACAAGGACGAGAGGGGGAACGGCGGGGAGGGGCCACGAGGACGCGGCGCAGGGGGCAAGCGCCACCTCCCCCCCCCCCCCCTGGGGGGGCCGCCCATCGCCCCTCGGCCTCCACGCCCCGCTCCTGCTCCTCCTCCCTGCTCCTCCTCGCTCGTCCCCGCCCTCACGTCCTCCGCCCGAAGGCGAGGCCAGGACGAGGAGGAACTCGGGCGAGGAAGCAGGACATCGAGAGTCAGTGAGATCTGGCGCCTCTGGAGGACACAGCGGGCGCCGCGGCCTTCTCAGAGCGTTCCGGAACGCTCCGAGAGCCCTCCGAGAGCGGTCTGGAACGCTCTGGAACGGATCTAACCGTAAGTCGGGCGTCCCCCTACAAAGGGGTTTTGGACAACAAATACAACCAAAATGCCCAACAAATATAAACAAATGGTCAAAGATACTCCCCTGACAATTTTTGACTATTCTTGAATATTCCCCCTGTAGAGGGACAGGCCAGATTCAATCTAACGTCGCCCTGGCCTCGTCCGACATCCCTCTTTATGGTATACAACCTGCGCCTAGAAGGTGTCCGGGTGTGCTGCGTGAGACGCCATGTTGCCTCAACAGCCTGAGCCTCATGAAAAAATCTAGCAATGGAACGCATCGATGGCCGATGGCTTTCAAGATGCGGCTCACGCCCTTAGCGCCGCGCACATGTGTTTGTGAGCGTTTTCTTAATCGGCGTTTCGACATTGGACGGAAGGGGGGGGTCTGGCTCTGAACCTCTGCTTAGTGCGACTGTTCGCAGCAGTGCGTCCGATGGGGGAGGCTCCACCTGCTCGCAACAGGCACCAAAGACAGCCAGGAACTACTCCAGTAGGGGGGGAGGGGGGGGCGAGGGCCCGCGCCGATCGACAAAACGATGAATAAGAAAACGATCACCATCGATGGCCGATGGTTTCCAAGATGCGGTTCTCGCCCTTAGCGCCGCGCACATGTGTTTCTAGAGTTCCCACTAACTGCAAGGATAGAGGACGGACGTGCTGGGTTCCAAGTGTGATTCTTGCCTAAACGCCGAGCACGCTCATCTTTGACGCAATCTTTGCACGGGTGAAGGGGGCAACATGCGGCTATCGCATGAACGCCGCGCAGATCCGTTTCAAGCAACTCAAACTGTACGATCATTATGGAAATGGATTTGTTTCCAAAATGTGGCTCCCGCTTCATCCGCCACCGTGCCTGCGCGGAGTGGGCGTGTTCGAATGTTTGTCTGCTGTTTGGATCGCTTGTTTAAGGGTCTCTAAGGCCGACCCCCTACCCCCCCCCCCGCGCGCGTCTCGAACACTGCCCCATCTGAAATTGTTTTCTGGCGGTCTGTTCGACCTCCAACATGCCAATTGGTCTCCAGGAGGGCTTCCAAGACAGTCGAGACGACACCAACGCGGCTCAAGATGGCCCAAGGTTGCTCAAGAACTTCTCAAGACAACCTCAAGACTGGCTAAGAGGCCCTGAAAACGGTCCAGGAGGGCTACAAGAGGCCTCCAAGACGGCGCGAGCTGCTCCAAGAGGCCTTACTGGAGGGCCCCAGGGGCCCCAGACTATCTATGTTCCGAACGTGTGCGAAGGCTTTTGAGGTTCTCGCCTGTTCGGGTTTCTGACCACCCAAGACTGCCCAACAGGCCCCCAAGAGGCCCCCAGGATAGTTCTTAGACAGCCCACGAGGCCCCCAAGAGAGAGCCCGAAGTCGGCCCAAGAGGATCCACACATCACCCGAGGGGCTCCCAAAGACAGCCCCAAGATGACCTTGAAGCGCTCCAAGAGAGCAACAAGACTAACCAGCCTCGAACTGATCCCTATCCCTAAGATGGGCGAGCAAAAAGCGAGGACAATCTTAGGGATAGGCCCTCGGAAACTGAGGGAATCCGTAAGATCGGCATCGAGGTGAGGTGATGTCAAACATAGGGATAGGGATATGTTTCAAACTGGTAACAGACGGCCCAGAGAGGCCTCTTGGGCTATCTTGGGAGGTCGGAAACCCAAGCCTCTTCAAACATCTAAAGAGCATCGACGGCGTTGGTCTCCTCGGGTTCTCCAGAAAGCCTCTTGGGGATCCCTTGGGCCGTCTTGGGGGCCTCTTGATCTGTCTGGAGGTCTTCTCGGGAGCATCATGGCCTTCAGGACGGCTTTCAAGGCAGCCATAATGATTCAAAGATGGCCCGAGACGGCTCAAGAGGCTCCCAAGACAGTCAAGACAGATCTAGGGGCCCCCAAAACGGCCCAAGAGGTTTCCAAGAGGCCCCCCTGGAGAGCCAGGAGAGACCAACGCCACTGATGTCCGCCAGGTGTTTCAAAGATTTTGAGGTTCTCACCGGTTCGGGTTCCCGACCGCCCAAGACGGGCCAAGAAGCCTCTAAGAGGCATCCAAGATAGCTTCGAATACAGCCCAGGAGGACTTCAAGAGGGCCCAGAGTCGGCCCAAGAGAACCCAAAGGTCGCCCCAAGGGTTCCCAACTGGAGGCCCGAAGACGGCCGTGAACCGCTCCAAGAAGGGCACAACCGCGACCTGGAGAGCCCCCCAAGGCGGCCTCCATAGGAGTCAGACGGGCCACGAGTCTCCTAATACGGCCCAAGAGGCCCCAAGAGGATCCGTGAGGCCCCCAAGATGCCCCCAAGAAGCTCCCAGGCGGCCCCCAGGAAACCCCAAGAACGCCCCAAGAAGCCTTTCCCTTCTCATACCTATGGTCTCCCTATCCTCCTCCTCCTCCTCCTCCTCCTCCTCGTCCCTACCGCGCGGACGAAGACGAGGTCGGGATCACGACCTGACCCGATGCAGGCTACTCGTCGGACCTGCGTTGTTCCTATACCCAGCTCCCTTCCTGTTGCCCTGTTGGACAGGCGCGGTGTCGGGGTTTGCCGCAGGCAACTGGATACAACTCAATCTTCTGACTCGGATCTCCCATGGTAGTATAACTACACGGGTGGAAGGCGACTCCATTTCAGCATGGGTTCTTCGCCAAAGACCTCCGACCGATTAGGACCACACTAAGCAGCCTAACGCTTACGGATAGAGGGCAGATCCTTTTCAACACGGGGCTGCCGATTGACACCTCAACAATCTCAAATTCCTACCTCCTTGCTTTTTTTTCTCGCTGAAGGAATGGGAGGTGGACCTTTTTCAACACGGAATCTGGCACGTACTGCGTGCTACGTGCTGATTCGCATGCTACTGCCGCGCACGGACGAATATCACTGGCACTCCCTCTCCTGCCCGAACAGCTCAACGTTGGCACGCCTGGTTAAGGCCGCGGCGAACTTTGACAACGTGTGGGTCGGGCAGGGCTATGGTTGACACACGTGGGGCTCCCCAAATCCACCGCCAACGTTGACAACGGGGGAGATGTGGCTTTCCGCCCCGGTCCGTTCTTGAACAGCCCCTGGGCCCGGCGAGGCTTTCATAGCCGGGAAACTACCAACAACCTCGCAACGTGATTTTTTCGCAGCGAAAAAAAAGGAACGACGGCGACGACGACGACGAAGACCATGGCGACGACGACGGCGACGCGCCTCGGAACGCCCCCGCCGCACGTTCGCCGCCTGCTGCGCCGACGTTCCCCGCTGTTGGCGGGCGTCCCTGGCGGGCCACTGGCGGCTGACGGGGCCTGCCCCCGCCTTCCTGAAGACGAGGAGGACAGAGGAGGAGGTGAAAACAACAGAGTGAGAAAAAACGGGAGAGAGAGAGAGAGAGAGAGAACGAGAAAAAGAGAGAGAGAGAGAGATAACGAAAGAGAGAGAGAGAGAGGGAGGGAGAAACAAAAAGGGAGAGACAGAGATATATAAACAAGAGAAAGAGAAAGACAACGAAACAAGAGAGAGATAGAGAGAGCGAACGGCAACAAACAAACGATAGAGAGAAAGAGGAAGAGATAAATACATATACATATATCATGGAAAAAAAGGAGAGATAAAGAAAGCGAGAGAGAGAGAGAGAGAGAGGGAATAAGACACATACATATAAAGAGAAAGGGAGTGAACAAAACAAGAGGGAAGGAGAGAAAGAGAGAGAGAGAGAGAGAAAGAGAGAGAGAGAGAGAAAACGATCTATAGAGAGAGAAACACAGAGAGAGAGAACGCAAGCATACAGACATAAACAACAAAAGCGAGCGATAATAACCACATAGGGATCGTCGCGACATTGAAAGAGAGGACACATGGCCACGGCAACGGATGAGGAGGATAACGCAACGAATGTATTACAAAACCGAAACAACACATCAAAACGAGGGGAGAAAGGAACGAAAGGAAGGTTGGATCAAAACGGCCCCCCATTCCCACCTTCTGCCGTCAAATCTGCGCAATCCGCTAATGCCCCTCTCCTCCCGGGAAAGATTCGAATGTCAGCTCGCGATTAACAGCGACATGGGGGGCGCATGAATAAAACATGTTTTTCTGCTTCGGCAAATCGCCGGGGGGGCGCCCAGCAAATCGAAACGCGCGGCGGCGACGCCGGCAATTGGCGCCGACGCCCGGCCGCCAGCCAAACGGCGACAGGAACAGCACGCGCTGGGGGAGGTGGCGAAGGGGCGGGAAGCAAGGGCGGCAAAACCAGGGGCCAGCAGCGCCGCCACCCCTGCCGCGTTATTCTCCTTTTTTTCGCAATCGAGCGGAACTCCTCGCCGCGATGGAAACGGGGCCCTGACGGAAGCGGGCCCAAAACCTTGGATTTCCCGCCAAGACCAACTCGGTTGTTTTTTCCGGCTGCCTTGGGGCCAGCCGAAAGCGCAGGGACCCGAAAACGGGAAAACCTGCCAAGGCTCCTTTCCCGCAGGACATGCGTCCATCGCGGCGCCCGCAGCAAGGCCAAAAAGGCGAGCAAGCCAGGCGCAGAGCGAGGCTCAGCGCGTCCGGAAGGGGAGTAGGACAAATTGCGCGACGACGTCCACCAGAAAATGTCTCTCGAGACCGACAGCGGCCGCTTTCGGGCAGGGTGTTTGTCAGATCGAATTGACAACGTCCGCCCCCCTCCTCCCCCTTTTCCTCTTCCACTTCCTCCTCCTCCTCCTCGTCCTCGTTGTCCTCCTCCTCCTCCTCCTCCTCCTTTTCATCCGCGGGTCGGGGCCCCCAGGGACCGTGGAAGTGGACCCACCCTACTGGCGATGAGTATGCGGTGAGTGAAGATACTTTCGACTCGGACCCTGACTGGGAGCCTTCCTTGGAGGTCTTCAGAGACACCTTGAGGCTCTCCGTCTGGGCACACGCTGCTAAGCATTATATGGGGGGGCCTAGAGCAGGGAAACGAAACCACGATTATTTTAAAAATGATGCGTGCTTTAACCAAGGAGGGATCCAACAAGTTTCGAGGTTCCCTCAGCACGGTCATGACGGCAGGCTTCTGGCCCAAAGCTCGGCTCTCCCAGGCGGTGGTGACGGTCGACTCTATCTTGTGACCGCGTTGCGAGGTTGAACCCGAGACCGACCTTCACCGCTGCTGGACCTGCGTTGCCAATAATGACATTCCCCGCTGCGCCGACACGCAGCATTTAAAAGACCAAGCAGTTCAAGGTGCTCAGTCGCATCCTTGCTATTGGCTCCGAGGCCTCATCCCCAGAGAATGGACGGCTATCCCAGAGCCACCAGACAATTTGCACATCCAGCTAGACCCGCGGATCGACCCGCCAAGCTTCCCTGTGCCAGGTGCGATCCCGCACAACTTGCTGGGAACCCTTCTCGTGGACGGGAGGGTTTGGCTGAGCGGGGGCGCGTCTGGGGGAAAGCACTCTGGCCACGCTGAGCTGCGTCGTATCACCTCGTCAGTTGTCTCTGTTGCCTTCGGGGCTGACCCCAGGGAGGTGCCTCTGCCTTTATGTGCGTCTGGAGCTTTTGGTGGGGCCCTCCCTGGCCCGCGCCAGTGAATCAACCGAGGTGAGTTGTTTGCCCTCAAGGAGGCCCTTTTGGCTACCCCAGGCAAGGACCTGACCTACGTTACTGACAGCGCCCACGTCCAGCGAGGTGCGTTCTGCCTGCGCTCGAAAGCCACATGGAGGCCGAAGACGAATCGGGACCTCCGGCACCTCGTCCGAGAGCTCTGGGGGGCCCGGGACGTCCTCGTGGTCAAGGTCGCTAGCCACGCGACCGCTTCCGAGTTCGAGCGAGCGTCAGATGATTTGAAGGCTTTGTTTCAATTCAATGAGCTTGCTGACAAGCTAGCTGACAGGTTCTCTCCAGCCGCGCAGGTCCCGAGCGCGGCAGCCGATTCCCTCCTGGAGCTCGAGACGGAGGCCAAGGCCATCCGCGCCCGTTTGTCTAGCCTTTTGGTTTCGATGCATTCGCACCGCCCAAAAGGGGAAGTTTCCAGAGCTGCCGCCCAGGGACCTATCAGGAAGAAGCTAGATGTGGCCTCAGAGTTACCCTGCACTGCCCACCTCGTGGAGTGCTCCAGGGTCGATGGTCGTCTGCGTAGGCAGTGGAAATGTCGTAAATGTTCCTCGGAGCCCCCCTCGAGGGGAAAGGGTACTGTAATTAAGTGGCTCCGCTCCCCGTGCAACCCCTCTCTCATTGTAGGCCCTGCTTCGAGTGCCCCGCGGGAGGTGGGGCCGAGTCGGAGAGGCCTCTCTGTGCATCCCTCTCACACTATGCGTTGGTGGGAGGCGGGGGCGGGGACGGTGAAGGAGCGTATTTTCGTTTGCTCGAGGTGTGGAGGGCTCGAAACCGACCACTACCGCTCCACGGGCAAGCTCGTCTCGGAATGCCAGGCCCCCACGCGCGCGGGCCTGCAGTATCTCAGGGCGCTCGAGAAAGGACGAGCCCCAGGCCACGCGAAGTTGGCCAAGCAGGTCAATGTCCGGAGATAGTTTGGATTGAGCGCGCAGCGCAGAGTCTAATATAATCTCCTCCTTTTCATCCTCGTCCTCGTCCTCGTCCTCCATCGTCCTCCGCCTCCTCGCCCTCCTCCTCCTGCTTGGTCGTCGCTCGTGCCATTTGCCATCATCCGTGGCGCGCGGCGCGTTGGCTCCCTGAGCTCTCCGAGCCCGGGCGCGCACGATTCATAACATGTTTCGCGTCCCGCGGGGTCTATTCATCAGCCCTGGGGGGGGGGGCCACTCATTTGTTAATCAAGAGCTGGCATTAACAAAGGAGGCCTTCTCCCACCCGTCCACTCTCCTCCTTCCTCCTCCCCCGTTCCTCCTGCCTTCCTTCGCTTCGTTTACGAAGAGCCTGCGACGCGCGCGCGCGCGGGGAGGTACATGCACGGCCGGGCAACCAGGAAAGGCGCAGTGCGCGTATGTGTGTGACCTACGGCGGCGCCACGCGCTGCCCCGCTCCCAGCGCATGGCTCCGCACCATCCGTGTTCGGAGCCAGTGCCCCCCCCCCCCCACGCGGAGCTTGCCCGCTCGGCGAGCTCGCTTCCCCTCGGCCCTCAGGCCTGGTCCTTCTCGCAGCTACCGGGCGGCCTGTCCACGGGGACGCACCGCGCCACTTGCGCCACCTGGAACATCGGCTGCGAACTCTGCACGCCGATCTCGATAACAACAGGCGCGTGCGGATGGTCGGGCGACGCGGGCGCCACCTGGACCACCTTCGCCACCAGCCCCTTGAACACGAGGGAGAAATCGATCATCCTTCCTGAGGGAGCGCACGTGGTAACCGAGGGCCTGACCAACGCGGCGCCGAACATGGCGAGCAGCCCTCCATCCTTCAGCTCATCCTCCGCGACGTTGAAGTCCGCACCGGTCACGAACTCCTTCTGGTACTGTCTGAGACTCTGCGCAAGCAGCTTAAGCCCCGTGACGTTGCCCGCGTTGAGGCCGACACCCGCCTCGAGGCACACGTTGCCCAACATAATACCTCCTCGCCTCACACCTCCTGCCCAGCACATGCGGATCCTGCCTGGCACGACCACGGCGCCCTGCGAGTCGTCGACCTCTACCATCCCATGGGATCGCCTGGCCATGGTGAGCAGGCCGCCTGTGCCGATGCCCTCCACAGCTGACGGGACCGCTGGCGCGCTCCTCGCACGCTACCCCCGCGCCCGCAGCTGCCCCTCAGCGTCGACACGCCTGCCCCCCAGCAACTGGTTTCCTGCACCAGGATGGCGTCACACTCGCTCACCTCCTGCACCGCCAGGCACTTGCCCAAGCTTCTGAACGCGTTGACGTCAGTGCAGATCCTCCAGAAACCGCGCTGGCGACTAGGAGGAAGGCGCTGCAGGCTCCAGCTTGTCTTCACCGAAACGCCACTTGTTGCCAGCCTGCGAGGCGCACGAGGCACACTCTTCCATGAGCACCTCCGCGATCTTCCTTTTCTCTGGGTCAGCCAGTCCCTGCGTGAACTCTCCCTGCACCTGCTGCGTGCCCCCCTCAAGGCCAGGCGCAGGGCAAGGAACCGCGGCCTGCAATGGGCCAGCGGCCGCGCAAGCTGCCGCGGGCGCCCTCGGGGGGGCAGACACCCCGTTGGCCGCAGCGGACCCCCCTGCCACGGCCTTGGCGTGGCCCACGAGCAGCTCGTCCAGCACCCCGCTGAGCGTAGGAGCCTCCCCAGCGCACGCAGCCAGCGCCTCACCAATCGCCTTGCGCAGCGTCGCCGAGGGGGGCCACCGCAGGCCCTGCCGCGGCCGCGGCTGTCGCTGCTGCTGCCTCCTCCTGCTCGCGCCGCAGCTGCTCCAGCTTCGCCCCGAACTCCGCCATCTCGCTGACAGCGCGAAGAGCTCGCGCCCTGGCCTGCTCCAGCAAACCCTCGGCAGCTGGGCAGCCCTGACCTCCTTGACTTTGGAGAGATCCCCCAACCCCTCCTGCGCCAGCCGCCAGGCTTGCAGGATCTCCCGCTTGGTCTTGGCACCGATGGCGTCGAGCAGTTTGGCCGTGACCCCGAACTGCTCCTCCGACATCCGCACCAGCTCGAACCTCGTATCCTCATCAATGACGCCGCCTCCTCCGGCAGCCCCGCCTCCAGCTCCACCAGCTGGCCCCGCGGAACCCCCAGGGCGATCGCCGCGCCACCAGGGGGCACGCTTGGGCGCAGCAGCGGCAGTATGAGGGCCAACAGCGCGAGGCGCGCCATGCGGCTGCACGAAGTCGCCGAGCTTGGCCGCCCGCTGCAACTTGGGCCGCTGCCCAGGACACCCTTGCACTCTGCACGCCGCCCTCTCCGCGAAATTGTAGTACTGGTGCTAGCACCGCGGGCAGCCCTACCCCGCGCCGCCCAGGCGGCCAGCCCCTGCAGCACGCACCGCCGCCAGGTCCCCAGCAGAGGAACAGTGGTGGCTGTTGATGGGGGGATAACAAACCTACCTCGCTTTTGACCACCCTCGCTTCCAAGAGATACCAAGCGGTGCCAAACTACGGCCTGTACTGGTCAGGCCGCTTGGCGAGGAGGCGCGTGGTATGACTTGGTTTTGCCTGGAAGCGAAAGCGGAGTAGGTAATTCACGCTCTGAGTTGAGCAAGTTTACCGCCCTGGCGAGGCCAGCGTGGAAGCGCAGCGAGCCGCCGCCCTTCCAGGCGCGCACCGGCTCGCGCGCACGAGCGCGCAGGCGCCTGGCGCGCCGACGCCGCGCCTCCTCCGAAGGCGCGATTGGTCCCCGCCCGAGGGGAGGTCGCGGCAGCCTCCTGCCGCACCCAAAGCTCTGGGGCCGAACAGCACTGAAAGGAGGAGGACGAGGAGGAGGAGGAGGAGGAGAAGGACGACGAGGAAGAGGAGGACGAGGAGGAGGAGAAGCAGGACCGCGAGGGCGTAGGTACGAATATGTGCGCCGCTCGTGATGGGGGGGGGCCCTCGCCAGAGCGGCCTCTGGTGCTCGGCTTTCGGGGGGGCGCGGGGTGGGTGGGACCCAAGCAAGCAGGTCGCCACCGTCGCACCGGCGAGAGCCGCACACCAACGGCCACCACTTTTGCCGCCGGTGCTGGGCCTAAACATTGTTTTTCGTTTTGTTGTCGTTTTGTTTTTTGTTCGTCTTGCTCTGCAACGTTATTCGTTTGTTATGGTTTTGTTTCGTTCTGTTCTCCTGTGCCTCCCTCCCACAAACGACAGACAAAACACAGCGGAAGTCCAGCAAAACAGCTAGACGAGCGCCTTCCACTACTCGCAAAGAAACAACTCGCAGATGGCCTGGATCCGCCGCGGGGGATCTGCGAGAAATGACATCGAAGCAGACATGTTTTTTTTTCTGACGTTTGCGAGTAGGCACTTTGAGAGTGGTGGAACGCGCTCCGCGAACAGCGTTTTGGCCCAACCACGGGCCACTCTTGCGTGCAGCCGACCGGTGCTGTTGTTGTCCACTCCCGGCGTCTCTCATTCCTGCCGGCCTGCGGGGGGGGCGGTCTGCGGGCCCCGGGGCCCCGCAGAGACGGGCCCGTGGCGGCGGTTCCCTTTGAAGTTGGCTCGGCTCTATCATCAGGTCGGGCGTGTCCCCCTACAGGGGGATGTTGGACGGACAAAACAATCAAACAAATACCCCCTAAATGGTCAAACAATACTCAAACAATAGTCCCCAGACTATATTTTGACTATTTTTGAATACTCTTCCTGTAGGGGGACAGGCCCGACTTAACTTTATACACAGACATCACCACCCTGAACCCGTCAAGGCACGCCAACAGCGACCATTCCCAAAAAACGACCGCCCCAAACTCCTCTATAGGCTGGAAACCGAGCCAGAAGCGATCTCGCGCCGAGCTGAAGCCGCTGACAATTAGGGACACGTCTGTCGCCCACGCTCTTCCGTAGGCGGCGAGCGAGGGGGGGGAAGTGAGAAGGGGCGGGCCCTCTCAGAAGGCCCGGACGTCCCCAAGCCTTCTGAGCAGCTTCCCAAGCCTCCCCCGAAGACAGCGAACACTTCTCAGAGGGCGCGAGGGCTCCTGAGAAGTCCCGCCGCCTTCTGAGAAGGCCTTCTCCTCCTCACTTCCGCCCCCCCTCGCTCGCCGCCGACTCCCGTGCAGCCGAGCCCTCGGAGCCCCCTGCTCGCTCGCCGCCGATTCCCCCCCTCGCCTCGGGCCTTCTCCTTCTCTGAAGGGGGACTGGGACACACAAATAAATAGACACAAATAACAAGATTCCCCCTATTTTCCCAGATGTTCTGGGTGTCTGTCTTCCCCCCCACTGCCCATATTTTCCATATTTTCGGAGGATGCGACGATTAATTGTGTCTGTGTGTGTTTTTCCCCTCCTGATTCTCCTTCTCACTTCCCCCTCCTCGCTCGCCGCCGACTCCGTGCAGCCGAGCCCTCGGAGCCCCGCGGCCCCCGAGGCGGCCGAGGGCGCGCGCGCGCCGCGCTCCGCCGCGCGCCTCGGCGGCGGCGGAGCGGGGCGCCGCTCGTGCTGCGGGCGCTTCTCGGCGGCCTCGGCGGCGGCCGGCGCCCGCCCCCTCCTCCTCCTCCCCCCGGGGCCCTCCCCCCCTCCTCCTCGCCCGTCGTCCTCCGCCCTCCTCCTCCTCCTCTCCCGGCGCCCGCCCCCTCCTCCTCCCCCCGGGGCCCTCCCCCCCCCCCTCCTCCTCGCCCGTCGTCCTCCGCCCTCCTCCTCCCGACGGCGGCACGCAGAGGGACGGACCCCCCCTCGCGCGATGCGTCCTCCCTCGGAGGCGCGCGCCCAGCTAGAAAGCATACGGCACGGCCGTGCTGTGAGCATACGCTGTGCGATTCCTGAGCGCGCGCGCGCGTCGCCTGCTCGGGGGCGACGCGCACGCAGCGGAAGCGTGTCACATCTCGGCGGCGAAGCCCAGGGGAAGAATGACGGGGCGAGGCTTCGCCGAGCTGCTCGGAAGCCCTCGCGCCTTCTGGGGAGTGTCCTGTGTATTCGGGCGAAACTCAGAAAACTTCTGAAAAAGCCCGAGGCCTTCCGAGCCTTCTGAGAACGCCCGCCCCATCGCGCCAGCCGGCCATGTCGCATCAATGTCGAATCCATGTCGAACGTGTCGACTCCGTGTCGAGTTCACGTCGAATCCACGAAGAAACCACGTCGGAGTAAAAGGAAAAAACGCCATCTACGGTTCAGGAACGCCTCCCGAAGCTGCAACGTACTCCTGCCCCTCCTCGCGAGCGGCGAACGCATTTGTATCTGCACCCTCGGGCTGCGCGATCCCGTGGGTGCGCGGTCGCAGGGACACGCTCCGCGCGGGGCGTCCGCGAACCTGCGCCCCGTGTCCACGGAGCCGCGGCCCAGGGGCCCGGCCCGCGAGGCCGTGGATACTGGCACGTGTTCCGCCGACGACCACCATGAGTCCGCGATGAACCGCACCCCGCCCTCCGCCCTCCGCCCCGAGAGCAAGCTGGGACAACCGAGCCGGACGATGTGAGCACGCCGATGCACTTGCGCCAATGTCGGGCCAGCGCTCCGTTTCTTGGCCCTCCTGAAACAAAACTGCCCACCGACGATGTACACCCGAGAGGGCACAGGGTGATGGGCCCACTTTCCACAGCCATTACCATAGGCAGGAAGAGCAGAAGGAGGAGGAGGACGAAGAGAAGGAGGAGGAGGAGGAGGAGGAGGAGGAGGAGGAGGAGGAGGAGGAGGAGGAGGAGGAGGAATGAGAGGAGGAGAACCTCGCCATGCTCCCTTCTCCCCCGTCCTACACACAAACATGCGACGTCCTGATGTTCTCAAGACGTCGTCCCTGGAAATCGAGACTCTTTCCTGAGGACCGGCTCTCGCCTTGCCCGAACACGTGCGCAAAAAGCCATGACAAGCTCCTCGCGCAGCTCGCCACAGGAGCCCCAGTCCCATCGCCAGGGCATGGGGGCACTGCCCCCCCCGCGCGCGCAGTTCGCCGTGAATCCCACCTCGCCGCTTTCCGCCCCGCCCCCTCCGCTCCCTTCTCCCCCTCCTCGTCCTCCGCCCCGCTCCCATTGCCCCAGTCACGTGTGCTCAAATTGGTTTTCGGTCCATACCTCGGGCCCCGTGCGGCCGCTCGGAATGTTCTCCCGCCGCTTGCGGAGCGCTCTCGACGAAACGCAGCTGATGTGAGGGGAGACGTTCGGCGATTGAGCGGCGATTTGCTGGCCCCCTTTTTATCAGCATTCGAAAATGGCGACAGCCTCGCTGTTCGCAGCCCCGATGGGATGGAGAGCTCTACCCCGACCTTGCGCCCAGTACCCACTATGCACCATGCTGCAACCCCTAGCAACCTTCGAGAGTGGCGACTGTTTCGCAGATCGCCCCCCTCAACGATGGTGAGGTCTAACCTGAATCCGCGCCTGGTACCCACTATGCTGTCCGCCCCCAACAACCCTCGACAGTAGCGACACCCTCGCAACTCGCAGTTCCCACAGGGACGGCGAAGTCTACTCTGAGTCTGCGCCTGGTGCCCACCATGGTGCAAACCCTATCAACATTCGAAACTGGCGATTGTATTGCAGTTCGCAGCCCCCCAGCGATGGTGAAGTCTTATCTGGTTCCGCACCTGGTACACATTACGATGGCCCCCATCAACCATCGAACGTGACGACCAGTTGGCATTTCGCAAGTTCACATGGATGGCGAAGTCGAGTGTGGATCTGCGCCTGGTGCCTAAGACGCTTGCCCCCCAGCCCGCGAAAGCAACGACACTTTCATGTCGCAGTCCCCCAAGGATGGCGATGCCTAATTAGAACCTGCGCCTGGGACCCACAATGCCGTCGAAATTCGCAACCATTTCACAGTTCGCAAACCCCCCAAAAATGGCGATGTCAAGTCCGAGCTTGCGCCTGGTAGTGAAAAGCGAGGGACGAGAAGGGAGGCGGGCAGGAGGTCGCGACCGCAATGCTCTATACTCACACTTGATTGGATGGAACACAAGAAAGGACACAACACCACGGAAAAAGGGCCACGTTGCCACAGGAATGCAGGAGGCATGGGTCGCAGAACACGAGACACGAAGGTACCCTTGATCTGACAGGGTCGACCTACAAATCCGGGCCGCCTGTACCCAACACGAGAATCCAATGCAAAAAGGCCGGCGCGAAACCGAATGTTTCCACTTGTCTGGGTTCCGCGTAAAAGATCGTATGTGTGGCGGCTGTTTGGGACGCTCCGGGCACTTTTCGGAACGCGCTCGGCGACGAGCAACTGCTGGAACGCGCCCGGATTTTCCGCAGAGAATCTGCCAGACCGCCCGAAAACGGTGTAATACATCTGAAACCTCGAAACCGTCTGCTTCGTGACCACCCCCACGATTCCGCGCCCACGGCCAGAACAAAGCGGAAGACAGCGGACGAGCCGCGGAAGAACCAACCGACGGCAAAGAACGCGGCTCTCCTGCGATCTCTTTCGACATCGAATTCCCCTGGGGCCCCTCCTGACCCACTTCTCAGAGCGGATCCAACCGCGGCGCCGAACGGCCTCACGGACCCCACAAAAACGGACGAGAATCGCCATGCAAGGCCGCCGTTGTCTTGAATGGCTCGGACGCCCGAAAATGAACACGGAATTGGTCGCGCTGTTTGGCCCAAGCTGCTACGCATTATGACGATGTCAGAACCGCAGTTTGATGCGCGGGCTGCATGGGGCGCGCGCGCCCCCTGGGGCAATGGATCCCGGGGCAGCAAAGCCCCAAGCGGAACAGGAAATAGGAACGGGAGCGAACGCAGGAAAAAGGACGCGACAACGGCCGACAATTCAGCGCGGCGGCAGCAAGATACGGCGGAAGGACGAACAGGAAGACGACGGAATGCGCAGAATGCCGACGAAACTTGGCAATCCTTTTTCTGAAGTGGCGCTCGAAAAGCAGCGCGGCCTGGCGCCAGGCCGTTCCGGCTCTCCAAAGAACAACAACTGTTCATAGCTGGCTCGCCCACCAGCTTTTCCGCGTCGTTCTTGCCATTTCAACGCGGGGGCGACGTAAAAGGCTCGCAGACGCGCCGCCAGGTCTGCCGGCGGCCCGCGGGGAGAGCAATTGATGCCCAGGTCGCGTATGAACAGCAGTTTTTCCACCGTCGTCGACATGGATATCGTGGCGTAGAGATGCAGCCAGGCAACGTCCAAATCCAGCGCATCCTTGCGCCCGGCGTCGACAATTACATTACTCCACGGTGCATGGCCCGGCCCTGGCAGGCCGTGTACGTCAGGGCCTCGGCGTGGGAAGTGACCAAGCAGGCACGCGTGACCTCAGTCGAACGGGCTCGAAATCTGCGGCCCGATGGAGACAAACTCCGCCGCGTCCGCGACGTCGTTGATGCGACCAGGCTCCGCAAGCTTTTTGCCGCATAGGCTAGCCTTGCATTGTACGACTAAGTAATTACCGCATGTACGCAGGGAATTGCTCGGCTTCGCTGCCTCCACCTCGTCCTCATCCTTCGGGTTGACGGCCACGTGGACGACATCGTACCTGGCGCTGCTCACGACCCCTCGTGTCGGGGTCAGGCGTATGTGCATGCTTACAGACATCCAGGGACGGCGAGGTTGGTTTCAGATCCTTGGTAAGACGCGACAGCCTTTGAAACGGTCGAAAGTTACCCAATTCAAAACTGGCGACCGCTTCGCACTTCGCATTTGCCCCAGGCTGGCTAGGTTTAGTGTGAAATTGCGCCTTGTATTCATGTTGCTGCCCCCCCAAGAACCTTGGAAACTAGCGACTGTATGGCGGATCGCAACCCCGCGGGGCTGGCGAGGTCTAGTTCGGATTTGCGATTGGTACCCACTACGCTGCCCCCCAGCGGTCCTCGAAACTGGCGGCCGCGTCGCAATTCGCAGCCCCCCCAAGAATGGCGATGTCCAGTCTGAATATGTGTCAACGCCACCCCGCTGGACCCCCCAGCACCGCTCGAAACTGGTGACGCGCTCGCAGATCGCAGCCCCCACGGGATGGCGAGACCTTCGAAAACGACCACCCTTTTGCAATTCGCAGCCCTCCAAGTAAGGAGGGGGCACGTAGGACGACGAGGAAGGAGGCAAGCTGGCACGCAGGAGGGTGCGGCAAGAGGCAAGAGAGAAGAGAGGAGGGAGGCGGGAAGGATGACGGAAAACACGAACATTGATAACCAAAAGCAGAAAGGGTTGGGGGTTACCTTGCGACGCGCCCAGCACACCTGCACTAGAGGTTCGCTCTCGCCCCGCCGACCCAAAGTTCGAGTGGCCCGCGGCACGCCAGACAAGCAGCGGCCCACGCCGTGTCGCCCGGGCGTTCCGAGAGGGCAGCAGTTCTCAGCCACTGCAGGGACCGGGGGCCGACCTCGCCCACCAGGTTCTCCGCGTGCCCCTACTCGGGAGCGGCCGAGAGGGGGGTGTCCAGGAGGGGGGGGTGCAAATCATGACCAGCGGCACGTGCGCGGCCCACCGGGGGGGCCAGGGACGTAATGAAATAAGAAGAGGCGCCATAAAGCCTCCAATCAGATGCCCCAAGAGACCTCCAGGAGCACTCCCAAGAGGGCCCCAAGAGGCAAAAATCAATGTTTTTTCTCGTAGGTTTTGGACAGATTTGGGCCGCCCCCAACACTACACAGCTCCCGACGCCGCAGCTCCACACTGCAAACGACCACTCGGACAGGCGACCACGGTGCGACATTATGGGCCGGCGGAATGAGCGAAGCGATTAAATGAGAAGAGGCGCCATAAAATCTGGGAAGATATCATGGCCCCCGCCATGATATCCACCCCCCCCTAATCATCCCCCTCTTTTCCGCCCCCGACCTACGCCGCGCAGCGCGGGAGCTGAACGCCCGCAGGCGCGCCGCCAGGCCTTCGGGAACCGCGGGACGCCACCCCGCTGGGCCCCCCATCGGCCATCGAAGGTGGCGACAATTCCGCAGATCGCAGCCGCCTCCCGGATGCGCGAGGGCGAATCTGAATCTGCGGCGAATGCCCACTACGCTGCCCCCCCCCCTCCAGCAGCCCTCGGAAGACGCGACAGATTCGCAAATCGCATCCCCCCAGGCATGGCGAGATCGAACCGGAATCTGCGGCGAGTACCCACTACGCTGCCCCCCCCATCAACCCTCGAAAGTGGCGAAGATTTCGCAAATCGCCGCCCCCCAACAAATGCGCTGTCGAATCTGGATCTGCGGCGAGTGCCCGCGAGTACCAACTATGCTGGACCCCCATCGGCCCTCGAAAGTGGCGACAGTTTGGCAGATCTCAGCCCCCCAGAATGTGGCGATGACCAATCTGCATCTGCGGCGAGGCCCCGGGCAGCCCTCGAGAGTGGCGACGATTCTGCAGGTCGCAGCCCCCCAGGGTCGAATGTGAGTATACGGCGAATGCCCACCATGCTTGTGGATGCCACGACAATGGACACCCTAACAGTCCTATCATTGGATTCATAATGTGTTTGAAATGTCGGAACAATGTTATAAACATGCTTCAAACATGTATTTCCCACATATTTGAAACATGTTTAACACATATTTTGGACATCTGCGAATTATTTGGCAACATGCTTCCTCTCCATTGATCGTCCTCCGCAACACCATGCTGCCCCACAGCAGCCCTCGAGCGTGGCGACGGCGTCGCAGCTTGCAGCCCCCCCCCCCCCTGGCGACGGCGAGGAGGCAGCGGCCAGCAGGCAAGCGGAGGAGGCAGGGCGGAAGGCGGGCGGGGAGGCGGGGCAGATTGGCAGGCATGCGGGGGCATGGAGAAAGCGTGCGACCGCGGTGCTGTACAGTGCGGGCGCGGCCGCAAGAAAGCCTCGCAAAAAAACAACCCTGAGAACCCGCGCGCGAGGTGCACCTTAGCGGAAACCTGGAGCACCCTGAACGCAGCAGCTTCTTCAACGGCTGCGGGAAGTCACCGCGCAGCGCGAGGAGCGAAGAAACCCAGGATACCCTGACGAAAAGCATATGGTTTCGTGATGCGCGCCACCACTGTATTCAAAACAGAGAGCCCGACACAGGAGGGTGTGACGCAGGAGGGCTTGGCTGGGTAGTCGAAGCCAATCTGGCGCCAATCTGGCAGGCCCAATCTGGCAAACGGGGGCAATCTGGCGAGGGAGCCAACGCGAATCCAGTCTGGCGAATAGCCCAAATCATCCAGTTTGGCCCTGCCAGATTGGCCCTTGGGGCCCAATCCAATCTGACAGTCTGGCCTTCGACTACCCAGTCTGGACAAACACGAATGCAATGCCCAGCCACGCACGCTGTCCAAAACCGACGGCGGTCGCTGTTGGGCCTGGCAGGCGGGAGGGAGGCTAGAGAAGGTGTGCGACCGCGGTGCTGCACTGAAGACAAGAGCCCGACGCAGGAGGGTTTGCACAAACATTAATTCAATGCCCAACCACAAATGCTGCCCGAAACCGACGAAGGCCGCTGCTGGGCAGGCGGCCTTCTGCCTCAGAACGGGCAGCGCCTGCGGCGTCACCGGCAGCGAGTCCTGCTCAGAATGGGCAAGGACTGCTGCCGGTCTTGGGACCCTTTCTTCCCGCAGCCTTTTCCGATCGTACCGAACTGGTCTTCCTCCGACGAAGGGCGCTGCCCAACGGCGCGAAGACGACGGCAGGGCGGGACGGGGCCCGAAACGCAGAGCGCCCGCGGGACCCCGAAGGGCCGAGAGGAGCAATGCGCGATCACCCGATAACGATGCGCGATAACGCGGAGCAAGCAATCCGCTTGCGCCGCAAAAAAGGATGCGCGATACCGCCTTGGATCGCGAGGGGATTAAACAATGCCTCTTCGCGGGGCACCCGCGGCGTGGACTGGCGCCGAGGACCCCCGAGGCCGCCAGCACGCGTTCCACATACCCCCGATGGGGCTCCGAGGGGCATCCCTGCAGGAAGCCCGAGCGGTGCCCCCACGGGCCCCCGTGAACGGCCCCCGCGGAGGCAACGAGGCGGCCCCCCCTGTGGACCTCGCTTCTCCCCTGGGGGGGTCGGCGGCGTGGCGCATAGGACACTCGAACAAAAAGCAGAGACCACCTCAGCGCGGGGCGCCCGCGAGCCGAGTGGTCCCGCGAGGAGCTGCTGTCGGGACCTCCTGGATGGCGTGTCGCCGCGGCGGCCCCGGCGACGCGCTGCGCCTGTTTTTGGCGAGCGGACGGCGCGCCGCTCCGCCACGCGGGGCGGAGAGGCTCGGAGAGGCCTCGGACGTGGACGCTCCTGCGCCCGGGCAGAACACCTGGGCGACACAGCCCGCAGGGAGGCGCCCAAGGTGCCTGCGTGAATGCACGTGCAGTCGGAACTCGCAACAGGAACGGCGGCACAGACCCGCCCCGGGCGTCACATCTGGGAGGTGGATGCCGTGGCGGGCCGAAGCCTGGGGGGCCAGAGCCGGCGGAGCGACGCGCTCCTCGGCGTGCGCCCGCGGGGCCGGGCGGGGCCGAGGGGCCCAGTGTGGGCGGGCTGGGCCCGCGGCCGGCGGGGAGCCCAGGCCGTGCGGCATCTGCAGGGCGTCCTGGCGGGGGGGGGGGGCGGGCACTCCTCCTCTTCCTCCTCCTCCTCCTCTCTCCTCCCTCCTCCTCCTCCTCCTCCTCCTCCTCCTCCTCCTCCTCCTCCTGCTCCTCCTCCTCCCCCTCCTCCTCCTCCTCCTCCTCCTCCTCCTTCTCCTCCTCCTCTTCCTCCTCCTCCTCCTCCTCCTCCTCCTCCTCCTCCTCCCTCCTCCGTGGGAGACCCAGAAATGGACGACGGCCTGCCGCCGTGGTGGCGCGCCTGCCCGAGTCGCCCGGGACTCCGAATCCTCGCTGGCTCCCCGCGCGGTGTGGGCCCCCGAGTCGTGCTGGCGATGGCGGTCCGCGGCCTGGCGCGCAGAGGGAGCGGGGAGGCGGGGGCGGAGCGAGACGGCCGACGGAGGAGGAAGGAGGGACCAGGATGATAAGATAGGATCGGACACGCTTGCGGACCATGTCTGCATGCCATCCTCACCCTGCTAAGAGAACAACAGCCTCGAACTAGAAGTGGATCCGTGTCCGCTACTTGCGGGCGACCAGACACCAGGAGGAGGAAAGGGAAGATGAGGAGGAAGCGGAGGAGGAAAACGAGGAGGAGGAGGAGAAGGCGGAGAAAAAAGAGGCGGAGGAGGAGGAGGAGGAGCACCACCCCCTTTGGCGCAACAACTTCCATATCCATGCCTGGCAGCAGGCGGCCTGCCTCTCACGGCCTTACATAAAACGAGGAGCAGAACGAGGGGAGTCGGAGTCGGAGTCGGCACAGGAGGAGGAGGAGGAGGAGGAGGAGGAGGAGGAGGAGGAGGAGGAGGAGGAGGAGGGGAGGAGGGAGGAGAGGAGGAGGAGGAGGAGAGGAGGGAGGGAGGGAGGAGGGGAGGGAGGGAGGGAGGGAGGGAGGAGGAGGAGGAGGAGGAGGAGGAGGAGGAGGAGGAGGAGGAGGAGGAGAGGAGGAGGAGGAGGAGGAGGAGGAGGAGGAGGAGGAGGAGGGAGGAGGAGGAGGAGGAGAGGAGGAGGAGGAGGAGGGAGGAGGAGGAGGCGCGAAGCCTCCTGCTCCCTCCGCCTGGGCCGGCGCAGGGACGGGGGGAAGGCCGCGGGCCGGCGGCGGTGGCGCTCCTGCGCCTGCGGGTGGGCGCCCGCCTCCCGCGGGCGGGGCGGGCCCAGCTGGCCGCCGAGGCGCTCCTGCGCCGCAGGGGGGGGCGGCCGCACCCAGCGGGGGGCGGGGAGCGAGAGGCGAGGAGCGGGGGGCGGAGGGAGGCGACGAGGAGGAGGCGCGGAGGGGGCGGGGAGGAGGGACGGAGGGGGCGCGGAGGAGGAGGAACGGCGGGTGTGCAAGGATGGACGTGGAGCGAGGGAGGAGGGGGGAGGGAGACCACCCCTCTTCTGTGAAAGTGAGAGTTTCAGGGGCAGCCCGAAACGCAGTGGATAAGCAGCTAGTGGGTTGAACGCCCTTTTCAAGGGCTTGAGGAGTTTTATGTTGCATAATATGCCATGTTGTGTTTCCATGGCCGCTTGCTTCTCAAACGATATCAGGGGATCCCCTTTTTGAGCCAGACAGCGGTGACAAGTTATCAGGTGTGTTCCAGTCATTGACTGGGGTTTCCGTGATTTCATCAGCTGTGTGTGTGGTGCGACTGGCACCATTTCGTATTGATCGCCCGAGCGGATCTTACAGCTCGTGGAAAAAGAGGCTCACACACATGATCATTGACACTGGTAGTGCGGAGCTGTGCGTTTCGAGACGGCCCATGCAATTTCATTGGTGCAGTTTCATAACGCTATTGCATATCATCAAGACCTGTTCTGCGAAGTTCGGGTAATCACTCAGCTTCGAGAGCCCGTTCTCGGCCGCCAACCTCCCAGAATTCAAAGACCTCAGAGACTCTGACCTCGCAGAGTTCCCAGACCTCACAGAGTCAGACCTCACAGAGTTTCCAGACCTCACAGAACCCGACCTCACAGAGTTCAAAGACCTCACAGAGTTCAGATTTCAAAGACCTCACAGAGTTCACATACCTCACAGAGTTCATAGACTTCACAGAGTTCAAGGACATCACAGAGTTCAAAGACCCAACAGATTCCGACACCATGGCGCAGGTACAAGATAGACGGAAGAGTGCACATGTTTAGCTAGACAAAGACGGCGTACCCTGTTATGATGGCGACGCAGCTTCAGCAGAAGAAAGGGGCGACAGAGTGCGGCTTGGTTTCTTGGGCGCAGAGACGGCAGATAAGAAAAACAGTTTCATTGCAAAGGTCAAGAACGGCCTTACAGACAGAGCGTGGACGTTGAGCCACAAGGATGAGAAGATATCAGTTTCGGCGTTCACGAGGTTCTTCAAGAAGGGCAACACGGCAGACGAGAAGGAAAACGCAATCGAGGAAGCACTCGACGTTTCGATCAAATGCGCACGGCCACATTGCGAGAAGGTGGCCCCAATACAGAAGCACAAGGCTTTCTTGGACTATTTCAAGCGTGGACATCGGCGGCCCAGCGAACCGATAAAAGACTTGATCCAGCGAGTGAGAGACTCCTACGAGAAGCTGAAGGACCTCGCAGGTGGCAGCACGCAGGTTTCGGAGGACTTGCGAACGTTTGTTCTACTAGACATACGTGGCATCACGGAGGCGCAGCACAAAACATTTCTGGGCCAGGCGCAGAACGAGTATGATTGGGATGCGATATGCGAGGTATTGCAGATGCAACTCGACGGCATCGACGCTCAGCGACGACAGCCAGGTGGACGAACTCATGGAGGACGCAAGTTCAGGCGGAACTCAGCCTTTACAGCGGGCCTCGACGAGGACGACGGGAACGAGGACGAACCAGAGGATGGAGAAGACAGTGGTGGAGACGAGGACGGAGAAGATATGGAGGCGTTGTCCGCCGAAATGGAGGAGCTCGAGCAGGCCATGGCCATCGCGGACGTCAACGACCTCAGCGAGGAGGAGGTGCAGGTGTCCGCGTTTGAGGCTCAACGGCTTGGTGGAGCTGTCGCGGCCAAAGGCCGCGGACGTGGTAAGGGCAGGTCAGGTTCAACGGGCTCAAACTACACTCGGCAGCGCCAATTCATGAAGGACGGCAAGACGGATCGTGGATTTCGGCCGGGCAAAACACACATCGACTTCGACGGGGAGATCAGCTTCGGATCGAAGGATCTCCAGGACAAGCTGGGGGCCTTCCAGAAATTAAGCAAATGTGGAGCGCGCGGCGAGGCTGGACACTGGGCTGGAGACCCGGAGTGCAGCAAGACCAAGAAGTCCACCACCGGAGGCAAAGCTCAAGGACGAGGCAAAGGTGGCGGACGCGCTGGAGGTTTTCTGGCACGCACCGGCCTGGCAGCGGCTGTGCTGGCGACAGGAGTCGCCAGACCCGCCGAGGTCTACATGATCGAGCCTACGCGCAACCACATCGACGAGGCGATCAACCCGATCACTCAGGTCAACGACGAGATGATAGACACGATGGCAGCAGACCGAGTGGTACCTCCCGGGTACATTGTCCTAGACACGGCAGCCTTGGCACTATGCGGTGGAGATCGAGCAATCGACAGCCATCTTGAGAAGTTCGAGCTGGCGGACATACAAATGCCGACGCAGACCATCTTCAAGGGTATCAACACCTCGGCCCCCATCAAGGCCGATAGTACTCAAGCAGTACCAAGCGGCATCCAAGGACGGAGCTGCACGCTCAACTTCGAGAGGCTACCAAACTCAGACGCTCCTATGCTCATGAGCATGGACCAGATGGACGCCCTAGATGCAGTCATCAAGGTCAAGAACAACCAGGTGATATTCAAGAAGATATCCAAGCAGCCCGTGAAGATCACGCGCTCGCGGAAGAACCGCCTGATGATCAACATCACCGACTTTCCAAAGGAGCCGACGCAGCTCGAGGCACCGACGATCAGCACAAAGGCGCTGGATGTATGGGCGGCCGAGAAGGAGGACGAGTCGCAGTATATGACAGCGGCCATCGAGAAGATCACGACTGCGGTGAAAGACGCCGGTATCATGACCAAGTCCCGGAAGAAACAGGTGGACGTCTGGATCGCGGACAACGCATTGGAACAGCGTGCGACCTGGAATGTGCTACGCAAAGATCAACATCGACTGTTTGTTCCTGGAACGGTAGTGAAGGATATATACGGCGGAGAGTGCAACGTCACGAAGCTCGCAGGCAGCTGTGGTCTCAGGACTGGCCAATGCAAGGACTTACGCACCACTGGCGACGACTTGCTACTGCCAACTGTTCAAGCAACTACGATGCGGGAGATCGAAGATGACCATCCGTACCCCGCGATCGCGCCGTTTCCGCGTGACGGCCTCTCGCCCACCAACAATTTCTACTCGGAGAAGGAGCGGCGAAGGCGCCGCACGAAGGCACTTGCACATGTACGATTTGCTTTACGCATCGTCAAGCATCGACTGACACATGGGAAACATGTTTTGCTGGAGAACCCTTTGTGTTCACAGGTGTGGAACACCATCAAGGACGAGCTCCCACCGGAGCTGATCTGGGTTCGACGTGACCAGTGTGTCTTCGACCTGCGAGGCGATCGTGGAGAGTTGCTTCAGAAGCCAGCGAGGTTTGTGACGACAGCAGTGGCACTGGCATACGCATGGGAAGTTCGGTGTGCCGGAGATCACGGACATGGTGAAGTTCAAGGCCGAGGTGGCAAGTCACGTGATTTTGCAGTCTGGATCCCAGACCTGGCAGAAAGGATCCTCGAGGGCACGAAGCAACAATACTAGTTGGAGAAGCTTCTGGGTGGAAAGATCATCCTGGGAGTTCCCGACGCCACTGACGCATGCCCCGCTACAGGCTTCGCGTCAAGCTCAGGCCTCCTGGCACGACATATTCAAGCAGGTGGTGGATCGCCGGCGGCGGCTTCAGCGGCAAAGCTATTCAAGTGTGAGCTGTGCGACTCTCAGCTGGGACCGCCAGCGCATCCTATCGCAAGCCTACCAAAGTGGACCAAGTTCAATCAATGTCTTGGTATGGGCATCGCCTACGTGCCTGACCTGAACGGCAACGTGCACGCCCACCTGCTAATGCTGGACCTGGCCGCCGACTACACCGCCATACAACGGATGATCAGAGGTGGCAACCGCAAGCCAAGTCCCACTTCAAGTCGCGCCAAGACGGCTCTCGTGGACGGCTGGCAGCGGGCACTATTGACCCCGCAGCGGTTTCAGATTGACCAAGATGCGGCCTTTCGTCTGGAGTTCGAAGCTCTCTGCGAAGATCTCGGAGTTCCATGTTCAAGGAGATGGCCACCAAGTGAAGGTCTTTCGCGAGCTCGAGGTGAAGGATGACGAGAGCGCCAAGGTCGCCGGTTACCAGATTGCTCAGACCATGGACCGCCTATCGAACAACAAGGGTTTTTCCCCGGCGCAGTGGGTCCTTGGAGAGAACCCATCACTACCGGCATCTCTTGGAGATATCAATACTGATCCTGTTGTTGCATCGCCTACGGCTTCAGGAAGCATGCGAGGTCGCATTTCACCGAGCGGCCAACAGTTCAGCCCTACGACGAGCGGTGCTAGAAGGTGGAGAAAAGCGCGATCTACATCGTAAGTGGCAAGGACCTGCGCGTGTGATTGGGAGGGGCCAAATTGGCTACTGGCTTATCCACAACGGCATGCCCATTCTAGCTGGACCTAATATCCTCCGGAGGTCGACGCTCAATGAGATCGAGGATCGCGCTCCTGGAGATCAGCGTGAATGGCGAGGAGTTGCGCATGGACAGCGCGGCTTCGTGGATTTGCGCAACACCGCGTTTACTGAACCGCGACAGCCTCTACAACCTGGGATCCAACCACGACCACCACCTGATCAGCCACCAGATCCTGTACCACCTCCAGCACCGCAGGGACAAGACACGCAAGAAGCTCAAGATCGCGATGCTGATTATGAAGGCCAACCTCCTGCGCAGCGAAGGCGAGTTGAAGCAGAATGGCCAGAAGATTCGTGGAAAATCCCAAGTGTCGTGGGCCATGCTCATTGGCTCACAACCTCGTGGGCCCTACGACGCCATCCTTGCAACCAGGATTGCACCATGCACGATAACACCACTACATGAAGAAGATGTTATACCCCGAGATGGGCTACTACGGCGACGTATCTTTGACTACAACACCAAGGTGATGATGGAGGACCTGGCGCGCAATAGCCTGGA